CGATTACATATAAAAAAAAAAAAAAAAAAAAAATTAATTTAATTTAACACTTAACCTTAACTTAAACCTAAATCAAACCAAACCCATAACACTCATAACCTAAACTCAATTTAATTTAACCTAAACCTAAACCAAACCCATAACACCCAAATGTCAAAAATGTCACTCATAATACTTCAATGGAACATCAAGGGTTACACAAACAACTACAGTGAACTCTCAACTATAATAAAAAAATACTCACCACAAGTCATTTGCCTCCAAGAAACCCATTATTACAACACAAATACCCCCATCCCCGTCCCAATAAATTACCAAATCTATACAAATACAGCCTCCAACCGATTCGGTGGAGTAGCCATATTAGTCCACAAATCCGTACAACACACTCAATTAAACCAACCTAGACCCCTAGAAACTCTTGGAATAGAGATCATGTCCAAAACAAAAATCAGAATCTTTTCAACATACATTCCTCCCAACAAAACTTTTTCACTTAAATGTTTAAGCGACCAGTTTGAAACGCACAATACCAACACCAACCAAATTATACTAGGCGACTTCAATAGCTGGCACCACTCCTGGGGATCACATCAAGACAACAGAAGAGGCAGAATCCTATCCAAATTTATCCAAAACGCCAACCTCACTATACTTAACGACGGCTCACCCACCCACTTCTCAACTCACAACACACTCGCCCATATAGACCTTTCGTTATGCTGTCCCCAACTCACCCCCCTCACTAACTGGAAAATACTCGAAGACCTCCATGGAAGTGATCACTTCCCAATCCTAATCTCCCTGTTCCCGCAATCTCAAACAACAAACTTTTCTCGTCCCCTGTTCAAAACAAAAGAAGCAGACTGGCAACTTTTCTCAAAATTAACCAATGATATAAGCGAACTTATACCTAACAGTACAAACATCAATAAAGAAGCGACAATCCTCAACAAAATAATCCTACAATCAGCCCATCATAGTATACCTCAGACAACCCCACAACACTACAGCAAAAACACCCCATGGTGGAATAAGACCCTGACCAAACTTAGGACAAATAAATTCAAAACCTGGCAAACCTTCAAACACTTTAACAGTACAGAAAATCTCATTAAATACAAACGAGCTAATGCACTCTTCCGGAGAGAGCTAAAAATATCAAAAAATAAAGCTATGACAGACTTCACATCCACAATTTCACCCAACACCCCGTCAGACAAAATCTGGTCAAACATCAGACGTTTCTGCGGACTTAATCCAACAAAAACCATACACAGTATCACAGATCCAAATAACAACCTACTCACGACAGACACATCCCACATAACTCAACTTTTTGCGCAACACTGGTCAGACCACTCCAAAGACGAAAACTTCAACCAAAACCAACTACATTCCCAGTGAGACATCACAGACAATAGAATCTGATATTACACAAATAGAACTCCTAGCTGCACTACACTCCCTTAGAGGAACCACTCCTGGCCTTAATAGAATATCCTACCCCATGACCAGAATCACAAACCTATTTAATACCATTTTCAACAACTTCATCCCGCAATCCTACAAAACCAGCCTAGTCATACCTATCCTAAAACCCAACTCAAACAAAACAATAATAACCAACTATAGACCAATTTCACTTAACTGCTGCCTATCCAAAACTTTAGAAAAATAATAGCCAAACGCCTATGGTGGTTTGTAACCCAAAAAAACCTCATCCACCCCAACCAATCGGGTTTTAAACACGGCAAATCGGTTTCAGACGGTCTGCTCCTTGCAGACCACCTGATAACCAAGTCGCTGAAAACCAAAAAGCACATTTCTGTCATTGCCCTTGACTTTTCAAAGGCCTTCGACAGAGTCGGAGTGCACACTATAGTCGACCAGCTAATCAGCTGGAAAGTTGGCCCTAAAATTATTAACTTCGTCAAAAACTTTATGTCAAACAGAAAAATAAGACTGAAAATAAAAAATAGCATTAGCTCCCCATATCCCCTCTACAACGGCATCCCCCAAGGATCGCCAATATCGGTCATTCTTTTCTAAATTGCCTACAACAGACTCGCTTACATCATCAGCCTACAAAAAGAAATACAATTCAGTGCCTATGCCGTCGACTTTTTCCTTATTATTCCCCTCAATAGACAAAAAAACCAAACGTACAACCTCAACAGCCTTTTCTCAAAAATTCACGAATGGTGTTCATACTCAGGAGCCTCACTTTCCCTAGAAAAATGCCAACACCTACACATTTGCCGAAAGCAGAACTGCACATGCAACATTTCATGCAATAATACCACAATTCCCTCAGCCTCCAACCTAAAAATCTTAGGACTAACAATAAACAATAAATACAGATGGGACTCACACATAAAACAAATTCAACCGGCCTTAAACAACAAACTTAACATAATTAAATGCCTATGAAGCCCGAAACTAAACTGCAACACACACACGCTTTTAAATATAACTAAATCAACCCTAATCTCAAAAATAAACTACGCACTTTTTATCTACGGCCACGCACCTAAATCAACCCTCAACAAACTCAAAACTTTATTTAACGCCGCAATTCGCATTTCACTGGGAGCACTTCGCTCAACCCCCATCCCCAACCTGCTTTTTGAAGCAAACGTACCCACAATAGAAGAAAAAAGAGACCTTATCACATCTAAAACATACAAAACACTACTACACAGTTCAAACTCACCACTTTACAAATACATTAAACAATACGGGACCCAAAAAAGAAGCAAATTAACGTCAACACTAGAAAAAATCATCCTCTCATGCAAACAACACAACATTCCCTACCTCCCTTTTCCTAACAAAACAACCACCCCCCAATGGACATTTTCCCCCTCCCTTATCAACACTACACTAAAAAAATTTAGCAAATCCAACACACCGCCAACCGTATACAGACAACAATTTCTGGAACTCAAAGACAAATACAACAACCATACATTCATATACACAGATGGCTCTTTGCAAAATAGCACAGCCACTTTTGCCATCACCACCGAAAATGAAATCCTAAAAAGATGCATTCATTCATCAGTCCTCTCAGCCGAAACACTAGCAATTCTAGACGCAATAAAAATAATTCAAAAAAGACCGGGCAACTACATAGTTTGTTCTGACTCCCTCGCATCCTTAAAATCCGTCCGAAACATCAACAACAACAACTTATATCCCATAACCATTAGATCCATCCTCACAAAAACTGCCCCTAGAATAAAACTCCTTTGGATACCTGGCCACTGTGGCATTGAAGGAAACGAGCTAGCCGACACGACAGCCAAATCCACATACAATATGCCCCTACACTATACCCCCAACTTCAACACTACTGACATAACAAAATTTCTGGCGAAGGAGCTAACTTATAAACTCAAACAAAACTTAGAGCTCTGCAACAGATGGTACAAACAACTAAACACAAACCCAACAAACACAACCCTTTACCTAAAAAATATAAATCAAAAAAACATTACACGCAGCGACCAAATTAAAATAGTTAGACTCAGACTAGGACACACAAGATTCACACAACAACACTACAACAACCCGGACAACATCATACCCTGCCCAAACTGTCATACAACAAATGATCTGACAATTAAACATATCCTCACCAACTGCACTGCAACTTCATACTTAAAAAACCAAATATTCCGAAACAGGTCCCCCTATCGCTTCTCGAAAACCCAACCCCTGAAAATATCTCCAAAATAATTGAATTCCTTAAAACAACAAACATGTATCGCCTTCTATGACCTAACCCAATGTAAATATGTAATATGTATATAAAAAATGTAAATAAGTATAGCAGCAAGCCGAAGGCCCCCGCAGCCAGTGCTCTAGAAATAAGTTCGTCTTAATTTTTAATTATACCTAACTATTATATATATATAAAAGAAGTCAATTTACGTGATCTATTTTATGAAGATAGATATTGCGCCAGGTTCGCTGTGATAAATATTTATTATTTCTTAAATTGCCTTTTGAATTTAGCAATAGTACGTAAGGTAACATGTCATTCATATAGAGCATGCATATTATGGATTAAGCAAAAGTACTAAGTTGCGATCTTAAGTACGAAACTTAATCGCTCAATGTACTTCGAAAAAGAAACAACGCAGAGGACCATCGATCTGCTTTTCTGAAGGCAAGCTGGCAACTGACTTCGTTGCTCGTGTCAGCATCAACAAGCCGCGACTTCAGCATCTATTCATTCGGCTTTCGGAGAGCATAAAGCAATTCCGCTGGCGTGTCGTTTGAAGAGTGAAACGCCAGGGAGGCTCATCTTATTGTTTATATTGTCTTTGGAAACACTGTGGTTTTTGAGTTGGGCAACGACTGTTAATTAAGCCGTTAGAAATTTCATATCTCACCGTTTATGAACATGTATGTAATATTGTGGAAAAATTTATTAGAACTGTTCCAAATATTTTATAAATGCACCCCTTCCTGGTGGAAAATGCAGGTTAATGATAAAATGGCCGAAGTTTCGAGTTCAAACTATTTTCCAAGGACCTTAATGATAATTTATTAAAAATGAGTTTTACACGTTTTCCAAAATCCTCCTCTTGGGTGAAAGTTGAACAAATGGATTTCTAGAAAGTTTCAGTTTCGTCCGATCGTCTTTTTCTTCGATGGAAGTTCAAACTTATTCTCAAAGCTCTGCTTCTTCATTCGATTGACGTCAAGCTTAAATGCATATTCTATGTCAAATATATTTTTTTTAAACGTGGTCTTAAGGTAGTTTCCCACGGCGGGAAATTTGGCACGGACACGGGCAGGGGCGGGAAATGTCCGCTAATGTATTTAAATTCTTGTAAAATTCTGCAGTCGCCAAATCATTACCGCATTTTATAAACTCTGAGATCCTTACCAAGTTACTACGGCATGAAATGATGCGTTTATCATCCCCGTCTGAGTGAAGTTTTATACATATTCTTATGCGCACTTAAATAAAGACTCATAAATCATTCGAGTTTATATAGGTGGTTACCATTATATTTGTATTCCCTGGTTAATATACATATTTATATACTGTAGTTTATTACATTTCCTACATTCAAATAAATGTAAAAATAAAAGCAAACTTGACCTAACTCCCACTTCTTAATCTTTGTTCATTTTATCAATTCCTTAATGTTTTGTATCCAGTCGAACTATATCAAGGAAGGAATGACCTCATGATTTCCTCTTCAAAGACGTTATCTTAAAACAGAACTATTGCAACATTTATAAAGTCAGCTCCAAATTAAAGGAATGGTTATACATACATATGTGGTTCGTTACAATTGTGGAATATCTAGAAATTTCTCAAATACCAAGAAGTTCGTAATAAGCAAATATACGTCAATATCAACATAAACCAAAGATTGGTAAACATTTGCTCACACGAACCCAAAGTTTTTGGATTTAATGGCCATCAGCATTTTACTACGTAAAATTGATTTGCTGGAATAAAGAGGGATATACAATCGAGATATACAAGTGTTTGCAGTAGGAAGATGTGAGTCATCTGCAGGTCGTATGGTAACAGATGGTAGAGGCTGAAATCCTTCTTCCGAAGCTGGCAAAGCTGGAGATCCTGTCCAAAAATATACCTGTAAAGAACAAAAACTTTGGAATAGTATTTTAGGTCAATTAAATAATACTTACCAAATCTTGTCTTTCTAACGTATTCATTTTTTCTACAATACTCCAAAACCATCTTTTAAATTTTAAAAGTTTGTCAGGACCTTCACTTGATTCGTCATTAAAAGTTGTATAGGAAATCAGTGTTGAAACGTTGATATCACCCACACCATTCAAGAGTAAACGTAAATCTTCTGCGGTCAAGCTGTTCATGCAATTGTGGATAAATATTTTAAAGATTTCCAGACTTATGTAAAATTTGTAAACTTAACCTCGAGTGCCTTCTCTTGTGATTTAATGAGCCTATATTCAGTGTAACGCCTTATATATTCGAATATGTTACTTGACGTTACTGGCACATCGCGTCCGCCAGGGATTAATTCACGGTTGCCACAACCTTCTTCTTTCATCAAATCAATTCTGAAGAGCATGATCATAGGGTTAATATAATAATATTATGGACAGGTTTCAGTACACCTACACAAAACTAAGCTCCATTCGGTTGATGGTTTCATCTCCTTCTTTAGTTTGGGCATTTTTTATTATTTGTCTAAATGATTCATACAACGCTGGATCGAAAAAGGCAAGGTCATGAAATTTGATTTTTCGACCAAGCATGTACTTTAACACATGTCTTTGAAGGAACAGCGGGAGCAATTCATTTTGCAATAGACACAGCCCAATTAGCCTAAAAAAAAAACAAAAATAGAAGATATTTCGAATCCATGTATCACTCAATCATCTTGTTCTAACCTGCCAATATTTCTAAATGCATTAATTCGTTCAAAAGACGCAAGCCCTTGTCGTGGGGTATAAAAGCCACGTTTCCCCGGAGCGTAAAATAATGGCTCATTATCGTCGTCCATCGGTTCAACAAGTGCCGCAGATGGCGGTTTTTTCTGTTGGCTTTGCACGTTTATTTCCGACTTTTGCTTAAAATTTATTATGTCAACAGCTTCGTTAACTTTTTGCCTAAGAGTCTCATCTGAAGACAGGACAGATAGAAGTTGAGGTGTTGGTATTTCAAGAAGCATGCCTGTTATTTTCGATGCGTGCGATGCGTTTATCGAGTGGATCTAGACATATCAATTAATAATTTCTGTTTTTAGATTATAAAATATTTTACTAACCTTGGGATAGAGGCGCTCGCCAAGTTGTTGGAGGTGGACAGATAAATGGTCGTTCGAGCTCTCCGCCGCTGTGTTATCTATATTAACATTAAATTCAAATAAATATGGTACTAAACTTATATATAAATGGTAAATGGTTTTAGTTTACCTCCATTGCTAGATGGGTTGTACGGCATTCGGCTTCGGCATTTAATGCCTTACGTTCCCGAGCTGTGCGCCATAATATTTTACTACCAGTTCCTCGCCTCTGCAGTGTGGGCGGATCACGACTTGAGGCGGCAACGGTTCTGCTGCGCAGTATGCTCGAGAATGGTACCCCGTACTTACTATGAGTACCTCCCACTTGTACAGAATCGAGATTTGTCATTTTTGCACTCGCTAACAGCGCTTCCGAAATAGAAGTATAAAAGCTGCGCGCCACTCCTGATCCTTCACCTGGTTCGTCTTTAAATGTCACCTTAACTCTGTTAAATGTAATGGGTGGCTGAGCTCGTCGATTTTGGGTTCCGAACTGAGCATTTAATTCTTTAAACGTTTGGATAATTAAACTTTCCCTATTTCGCTCAAGTTTACAAAGAACCAAGTCGCGCTGTTGTCCATTACGGAGTTTTTCCATATGTCGTCTAAAGCGCATTTCCTTAACAGGAAAGCCTCTCAATTCTGGCAATACAGATCCGTGTTCCATACCTACATCATCCATAAAAACACGTCCGAATAGAACAAGAGCCAGTTTCCAACGACTTAACAGAAAGTTCCACGATGGCAGCTCCGAAGAACTGCTCTTGTAAAACAAAGAGCCACGAATTGGAAACACTGCTGCATGGGATGGTAGCTTTTCGCGACAATTATCACATTTTAGTTGTATTGAAGTAGCCGATGAATTTTTACATTCGGGCAAACTACTGTCATCCGATTCTAGTTTAAGAGTAGATGTTCCAGCTCGTACAATAACGCTACGAACTGCTGATACTGATAAGGAGCTCTGTATTGGCGCAACGTCATCTGTAATACCATCGCGATTTTGGCTTGGTGCAATAATAACTTCTGGTCGAGTTGTTATTAAAAGATCCGTCGCTGTATTCGCTCCAGCCATAACATCAATCATTTGTACATCCTCCGTATCCATGTGATCTTTAACGTGTTGATTATCCATTCAAATAAAAATTTAATTTAATATTACAGAAATCTATAATTTATATTATAAAAAGAAGCCAAAACAGCTATATTCGAAGATTAAATTTTCTTGGTTAAGGAAACAAACAGTTTGGTGAAGTATATACGGAACATATTAAAAATCATAATATATTAAAAGCTCGGTATAGGATACAATTGGAATTGCACTTCGATTTGTGTGCATGCTTAGATGCACATGTATACAGAAATTCTTACAGTTTGCGCAAACTTTCTTGCCACTATAACACCACGTGTTCTTTAATAACTTCTTAACCGATCTTTAGGAAAATATCAGCAGTAGATCTAAATGTGCTAGAGAATATTCTTTTATTTAAAAAATACAATAATTTTTTTTTTTTATGCATAGCTAGCCATAAAATTGCCGATATTTTATTTGTGTATGCTAATAAACAACATGTCAAATTTGGTGACTCTAGCTCCTTAAACCCAAGAAATTTGATCAACATAGGATTTCAATATATTTTATCAATTACTTGGAAAAGGGGAAAGTTATCGATTACCGGAAACAAACTCTTACTGCACTGGCACTTGGAGGACCTGCGTTCAAAATTTGAAGCCTCTATCTCTTTTATTGACGCGTGCATGCATTCAAACGGACAGACGAACATGGCTAGACTGACTCGGCTATAGATGCTGATCAAGAATATATGTATATGCTTCTTTCTGCCTGTTACATACAGAAAAACATATCCTTTTTACCCATTATCAATGGGTTCCAGGTATAAAAATTATTAAAACTAGACGACAACAAATATGGATAAATTTTAAATGAGACGCTCGGAATATGATAAGACCGTTATAATAGCTGTAAAATTGATGTATACACTGTTTTTTTAAAGGAAAATTTTATATGTTACTTATATTTTTTTGTATGGTTTTATTTGTTGGAGAATAATTTCTATAATGCATGGTTCAATAATATAATCAGTGAAAACGAATATACCGCAAATAAAAATAGGCACATAAAGACTAAGCAAGGTCCAGCAATGACCAAACATTGCTGGGCATATTTCTAAAAACTACAACTGGTGTGTATATTTTTTTCAGGGAGTATTAAAACAGAAGGGGCTTAATATCAAACTCAATTAATTATTAATCACCAACCATATAGAAATAATTCAAGTATAACATTTTTTAAAGTGTGGAACTGGTTACTTGAAATTTCCTACAAGAACGCACTAGAGTACTTTTACTAGTACATTACTTTATATAATAATTAAGGGGAACCCTCTGAATTCATGATATATAAACATTCTTAATCCATAACAGTATCATCTCTATGCCACCTAGTATCTTAGTTTTTAAACTACTGTAATGAATCTTTGCATAGTCCGGATGGGACCATTATATAACCTTGGGAATGATAGGTAAAAAATTACATTCCGATATACGGAAGCTTTTGGCTTTACGTAACGTATTGAAATGTAAAAATTTACATTCTGGTATATGGAAGCTTTTGGCTTTGCGTAATTTCTAAGCCTACCAGGGTATTTAATATGCCAAAAATAGCCGGATTTATTGGCAAATAGCTGCCATACAAACTTAAAAATAGACATGTTCGTTTTTTTGATTTAATGCAAACTAATCTCTTAGCTTATAGGAAATCTTGATGAAATTGCAAATGCAGTACTTAAATCGGAGGTCTGAATTGTCTCTGTAAATTAGATAGCTGGCACCAAAGTTTGTCGAAAATTAAATTCTTATATGCACGAATTTTTTAATGTCGGATAACTTAAAGATTTATTATGTTTTTAACACTGTGGTTAAGTATGCTCGTATAGAAGTAATTACCGTTCTATCCTAGGAGCCAAGTTGTTGGCAGCTATCTCCTCGTCTTAATTATAGGCAATCGATCATAACTTTTTTTTTTGTTCAATGTCAGAGAAAGTACTTACCTTCGGTTCCTTTCTGTAGTTTTAAGTCATCCAAGCCCTGTTTTTTCTTTAATTGAACGTAAATATTTGAATCTACAGTGTCGTCGACTTTATATGCTCGGCTGACGTCATTCATTTCGACCGTCTCTACATTATTTTCGTGATCTGTAGTATGCTGAGTTACATCAATCGCATTTGCAGGAGCATCGGTTTTCAAAAAATTCGAGAATCCTAACCTTGTAGGAGGTTGGTCAATAGTTCCCTGATGGCAAATGTTACTTTTGACTGTGCTGTTTTTTACAGTTGTAACTGCATTCAATGGAAGATTAGCAAAAAGCTCCTGTCGCTTTGAATTTGGTTGCAGTAAGTGTGGTTTGTCAGCTAGTGGCATAGCCATATCAAGTGGTAGATCGAACCCTTCTGGTGCAGAGCAGCCCAAACTAAGAGTTGAGTCGGATCTGGTGAAGAATGCGGATTTGCGAATATTTATGTTGGACGACGAGTTGGCAGGACACTGTCTCTCGGTATTAGAATCTCCAATGTTACATAATTCATCGTCAGTATCATCGGTTTCGACAAAGTTCGATAAATTATTTACTCGTCCAGAAATAGAATCGTTTTTATCGTAAAAGCTAGTATCATTACGCATATAGTATACGAATGCATCAAGCACGTACGAAATATGGCGTAACGCTGTTATGTCTAATACCGGCAGTGCATCTCTATGCTCCGATGTGTGAGCGCGCATTAATGAAAGACAATATGTAAAGAAATCTCGTCGAGAACTTGAACCTAATTTTTGAATAAGATTAATATAATGTTTCATTCCCATTTTCATTCGGCTTTACCAATCACATTCACGCCCACAGTTGTAGAAGTCGAAGTAGATGCTTGACTTGTTGCTGCTTGTGCACTAAGGTTGAGGGGATGCAACGGATGATTTGGATCTGTATAGTTTGTCAAATATGCACCGAATTTTAACTGCGCCTCTGTTCCGTCCATCACGGTAAACATCCAGTCCCAAGTTGGTTTCAATCTTTTTTCAACAAATGCCTTTTACACAATATAAATGATTTAAATATACATTATGAGTATATTTATCAAATGTGATACTCACTTGCACTGCAATAGCTTCCTCAATGTGAATTTTTAAAGAGGTTTCAATATCATTTGTCACATTGTATGACATAATTGCTAAAAGTTCAGATATTTGTCGAATTGTTATACCAAAAGCTCGACCTAAATTGCTTGCGGTAGTCGCCATTGTATGAGACTCGGCAGATGGCGTATTGACCGCAGTGCTGGCTGGCACAGTAGATCGGCGCAACGCCATAGGATCAATAAAAACTAAATTGGAACCAGTAGGGACGCGAACCGAAGATCGCGCATTGTCGCGACTTCTGATTGCCCATTGCATTGTTTGTGGGGTGAGATCGTTGCGTGAGTTAGGATTAATGTTACGGCGCTCAAGCTGCTGATCGCTGAAACTAAATTCATCCGATTGATCGTCCGATTCGCCATCTTCAGAACCATCTTCCTCTTGAGCAGAGGAGTCGCCAGATTCGTCTTCCAGAAAAAGAACTCCTATGTCTAAAAAAAATTATTTGACCATTGTTGATTTTTTTGTTTAAAATAATTTGCCTATATATATATAAGGACAGTGCTCAATAGGGGCAATTGAGCGAAGATTGCTGAAGTACTGAAATATTTAGACTCCACACTTCTGAAATCAATTATATTTTTGATATTAAGAGTCATAACAAGTAAGAGTGCTCTAATCAAAAGTATTCTACTTGCGGATACCCTGAACCTCCTTCTACCAACACAAAATGCATCTTGCGCTACGCATTATGGCATCATATCTCACAGAGAACATAAGGATTGGCTCTTATTAAAAAAAAGTATTGAAATAACCAAACACAGAGTACTGCATACAACATAATCGAAATTGCAATTCTGAATAGAAATAAAACGGGAAAGTAAGGATCCCTTCGACACACCAATGATTTAATACCCTTGTACACATTTCTCCTTTTGTAGATATAGTATGTGAAGCTCGTAGGGAGCATATTGAAAATCATACCTTTATAACAAGATATAAGACATAGTGATGCTAATAAATGCCGAGTTCGGTCAAGATATCTTAATAAACAAACAAGTTTTCCATGCAGGAACCTACTTTTTGACCGATCGTCCCTATGACAGTTATATGATATAGTATTCCGATCCGGTTCCGACATAAGTACTACTTGCCACAGTAAAAACGGACCTAGGCAATATTTTAAGACGATAGCTTTCAAACTAAGGGACTAGTCTCCTTCTATGTTATTTCATGACAAATTTATAATACCCTCTAGAAGAGTAAACATGTATACAGCATTTCTTGCGCTTTGCGCATGTAGCCACGTGGCTTGCCAATATAACAACACGATTTCTTTAATAACTTATGTGTTTCTTAGCCGATCTTGACCAAATTTTCAGCAGTAGATCTTATTGTGCCATCGCATTAGGATATTCTGAAAGACAACAGCATTAAAATTGTAGCTTAAATTGGCGGGTAGTCCCAATTGCTTTATTTATTCGGTTGGGTGGCAATACCTTTTTGTTTTGTTTTTTGTTTATACCTTTTCAATGGGTTCATAGTACAAAAAAAAAGGAATGGGAAATGAATTGAAGTTAACATATAAATGTTGTTTGTAAATGTTTCTTTTTTTTGTTAACTACAATGTTAACAAGAATACAATATGTATTCCTCGGCAAGCCCTAAAATTTCGATTGAGTCGCGTAGTGGGCTACAGGGGCAGAATCATTTAATTTTCTTTTTAAAAATAAATAAAAATAATACTTTTGAGTCTTAATACCCCTAGCATCTCCGAAAACCGAAGTTAAACTTCAATAGCAAAATAACAGTATTTCTTGAAGCGAACATACGTGATGTTTGGTCCCCTCCACTTTAACAAAACTTGCCAAAATCAAAATACTGAAAATCGAAAAAATGGGGAAGACATTACTGTTGTTGTTTTGCACTTTTTATTTTTTATTTTAAATTCGCTTTCATTCCTCATTTGTGCTTTTTCACTCGTCCGATTCTTAAGAATAGTACACCGAGTGTAGTCTATTCATAGCGGCAGCAACAGCTAAATCATAATAATCTTGTACTGCGCAAGCACTAGGAGGACGAACGTTTCTCAAGCTCTTAAAGATATTTAGTACGACGCGTTCATAAATACGGACAAACGGATGAACAAACAGACGGACATGACTAATCAACTCGGCTTTTGATGCTGATCGAGAATATATACACTTTATGGGATCGGAGATGCTTCCTTGTTCCTTCCATTTGCACAACAACATTTTTATCTTTTTACCCATTTTTATTGGGTTCAGGGTAAAATATCGGAATCAGATTTTATTACCACTTCAATTTAGTGGCACCTTAAATTAGTTGCAGCGTCAAAAAACAAAAATCTCTGTCTATCAAAATGAAAGTGGTCTTATACCTCCGTTGCTTTCAATTTCGATACTATCCCTTTTAATGAGACTTGGTGAAAACCGGAAATTTCAGATTATTCAGTCTTTTCTTTCGTTTTCAAAATTGACTTTGTAGGTATGAAAAATCACTTGGTAATTTTAGGAATTTAATTCCTTTACCGCCGGCTAATCCTGTGCGTAACCCTAGACAGATTTCTTGATTGCATCTTTATGTTAAATTGACGTCCTGAAGACTTTGGAGTTGGGCATTAATCTACTAATTCATGTGCTTGGTCAAGGTATTAAAACCAGTCATTTTTATCATGCCTAGATGAACAGAAACAAAACAAAAATGTCATTGCTACTTTCCAATTTTTTAATCAATGACCTTCCCTAGATGATATACTAATGTATGCCGATGTAAACTAGTGTCTTACATATAAGAATAAGGTATGATATAATTTATTATAAGCCGACATTGATGGCTTTTAGTTTTGGTAACAACATTGACAACATTGGTAACATCATTGAACTTTTCCAACCGGGCCCACTTTGTCCTCTACGAAGACAACGTCTTTAAGTTGCCATAGTTCCTCATCTTTTCTGCTCTCTTGGCAAGTGTTTCCATCTTCTTTAGAAGTCATTCTTTTAGTGCGCTTGTGTGAAGTAACACTACCGGTATCACTACAAGTACTAGACGCCGGCGAAGGCGGTGGAGGCATGTCAATATCTCCAAAATAATTGAATTCCTTAAAACAACAAACATGTATCGCCTTCTATGACCTAACCCAATGTAAATATGTAAATATGTAAGTGTAATCTCTATATATAAAACTGTTTGTCCTGACTGACTGACTGACTGACTGATTGGTGATCAACGCACAGCCCAAACCGTAAGAGCTAGGAAGCTGAAATTTTCACTGTAGTTACCTTATGTAATGTAGGTGCACGTTAAGACGGGGTTTCGGGAAATTCCACCCGCAAGTGTGGAAAAATCGCGAAAAACGTTTGTATGTAACTTTTTTGTTTACCATCCGATCAGCCTGAAACTTATTTTCAAAGATCTTTGTTCAAATTCATTTGAGGGGTGTTTCACACTTTTCGAAAAATACGTTCCTCCTTGGTGGAAATGGAGGTCAAAAATTTGGTGGGTGACGTTTCGCGCTCAAATTCGTTTCCAAAGATCTATAAGAAAAATCATTTGAGACGTGTTTCACACTTCTCGCAGAATTCAAACTTCTTCGGGGGGAATGCGATTTAAAGATTTTTTGGGCGAAGTTTAAAGTTGTGTCCGATTTGCTTCAAACTTATTTTCACAGCTCTACATAAGAACTTAATAAATACGTATTTCAGCGATTTGGGAAATTCCACTCGCAACAGTGGTAAATTGGCGGAAAACATTTGTATGAAAGTTATTTATTTACCGTCCGATTAGTTTCAAAATCATTTCAAATTTGTTTGAGAACATTGATTTTATAACATACGTGCCACGGGCAAGGCCGGGTTATACCCGCTAGTATGTATATAAAAAATGTAAATAAGTATAGCAGCAAGCCGAAGGCCCCCGCAGCCAGTGCTCTAGAAATAAGTTAGTCTTAATTTTTAATTATACCTAACTATTATATATATATAAAAGAAGTCAATTTACGTGATCTATTTTATGAAGATAGATATTGCGCCAGGTGCGCTGTGATAAATATTTATTATTTCTTAAATTGCCTTTTGAATTTAGCAATAGTACGTAAGGTAACATGTCATTCATATAGAGCATGCATATTATGGATTAAGCAAAAGTACTAAGCGGCGATCGTAAGTACGAAACTTAATCGCTCAATGTACTTCGAAAAAGGAACAACGCAGAGGACCATCGATCTGCTTTTCTGAAGGCAAGCTGGCAACTGACTTCGTTGCTCGTGTCAGCATCAACAAGCCGCGACTTCAGCACCTATTCATCAGGCTTTCGGAGAGCATAAAGCAATTCCGCTGGCGTGTCCTTTGAAGAGTGAAACGCCAGGGAGGCTCATCTTATTGTTTATATTGTCTTTGCAAACACTGTGGTTTTTGAGTTGGGCAACGACTGTTAATTAAGCCGTTAGAAATTTCATATCTTACCGTTTATGAACATGTATGTAATATTGTGGAAAAATTTATTTGAACTGTTCCAAATATTTTATAAATGCACCCCTTCCTGGTGGAAAATGCAGGTTAATGATAAAATGGCCGAAGTTTCGAGTTCAAACTACTTTCCAAGGACCTTAATGATAATTTATTAAAAATGAGTTTTACACGTTTTCCAAAATCCTCCTCTTGGGTGAAAGTTGAACAAATGGATTTCTAGAAAGTTTCAGTTTCGTCCGATCGTCTTTTTCTTCGATGGAAGTTCAAACTTATTCTCAAAGCTCTGCTTCTTCATTCGATTGACGTCAAGCTTAAATGCATATTCTATGTCAAATATATTTTTTTTAAACGTGGTCTTAAGGTAGTTTCCCACGGCGGGAAATTTGGCACGGACACGGGCAGGGGCGGGAAATGTCCGCTAATGTATTTAAATTCTTGTAAAATTCTGCAGTCGCCAAATCATTACCGCATTTTATAAACTCTGAGATCCTTACCAAGTTACTACGGCATGAAATGATGCGTTTATCATCCCCGTCTGAGTGAAGTTTTATACATATTCTTATGCGCACTTAAATAAAGACTCATAAGTCATTCGAGTTTATATAGGTGGTTACCATTATATTTTTATTCCCTGGTTAATATACATATTTATATACTGTAGTTTATTACATTTCCTACATTCAAATAAATGTAATAATAAAAGCAAACTTGACCTAACTCCTACATCTTAATCTTGGTTCATTTTAACAATTCCTTAATGTTTTGTATCCATTCGAACTATATCAAGGAAGGAATGACCTCATGATTGCCTCTTCAAAGACGTTATCTTAAAACAGAACTATTGCAACATTTATAAAGTCAGCTCCAAATTAAAGGAATGGTTATACATACATATGTGGTTCGTTACAATTGTGGAATATCTAGAAATTTCTCAAATACCAAGAAGTTCGTAATAAGCAAATATACGTCAATATCAACATAAACCAAAGATTGGTAAACATTTGCTCACACGAACCCAAAGTTTTTGGATTTAATGGCCATCAGCATTTTACTACGTAAAATTGATTTGCTGGAATAAAGAGGGATATACAATCGAGATATACAAGTGTTTGCAGTAGGAAGATGTGAGTCATCTGCAGGTCGTATGGTAACAGATGGTAGAGGCTGAAATCCTTCTTCCGAAGCTGGCAAAGCTGGAGATCCTGTCCAAAAATATACCTGTAAAGAACAAAAACTTTGGAATAGTATTTTAGGTCAATTAAATAATACTTACCAAATCTTGTCTTTCTAACGTATTCATTTTTTCTACAATACTCCAAAACCATCTTTTAAATTTTAAAAGTTTGTCAGGACCTTCACTTGATTCGTCATTAAAAGTTGTATAGGAAATCAGTGTTGAAACGTTGATATCACCCACACCATTCAAGAGTAAACGTAAATCTTCTGCGGTCAAGCTGTTCATGCAATTGTCTGGTAAGACATCAAAAACACCGTCTTTTAAAGCCTGTGGATTTATATATTAAAGATTTCCAGACTTATGTAAAATTTGTAAACTTAACCTAAAGGCACTCGACCTTCTCTTGTGATTTAATGAGCCTATATTCAGTGTAACGCCTATATATATTCGAATATGTTACTTGACGTGTCTGGCACATCGCGTCCGCCAGGGATTAATTCACGGTTGCCACAACCTTGTTCTTTCATCAAATCAATTCTGAAGAGCAAGATCATAGGGTTAATATAATAATATTATGGACAGGTTTCAGTACACTTACACAAAACTAAGCTCCATTCGGTTGATGGTTTCATCTCCTTCTTTAGTTTGGGCATTTTGTATTATTTGTCTAAATGATTCATACGACGCTGGATCGAAAAAGGCAAGGTCATGAAATTTGATTTTTCGACCAAGCATGTACTTTAACACATGTCTTTGAAGGAACAGCAGGAGCAATTCATTTTGCAATAGACACAGCCCAATTAGCCTAAAAAAAACACAAAAATAGAAGATATTTCGAATCCATGTATCACTCAATCATCTTGTTCTAACCTGCCAATATTTCTAAATGCATTAATTCGTTCAAAAGACGCAAGGCCTTGTCGTGAGGTATAAAAGCCACGTTTACCCGGAGCGTAAAATAATGGCTCATTATCGTCGTCCATCGGTTCAACAAGTGCCGCAGATGGCGGTTTTTTCTGTTGGCTTTGCACGTTTATTTCCGACTTTTGCTTAAAATTTATTATGTCAACAGCTTCGTTAACTTTTTGCCTAAGAGTCTCATCTGAAGACAGGACAGATAGAAGTTGAGGTGTTGGTATTTCAAGAAGCATGCCTGTTATTTTCGATGCGTGCGATGCGTTTATCGAGTGGATCTAGACATATCAATTAATAATTTCTGTTTTTATATTATAAAATATTTTACTAACCTTGGGATAGAGGCGCTCGCCAAGTTGTTGGAGGTGGACAGATAAATGGTCGTTCGAGCTCTCCGCCGCTGTGTTATCTATATTAACATTAAATTCAAATAAATATGGTACTAAACTTATATATAAATGGTAAATGGTTTTAGTTTACCTCCATTGCTAGATGGGTTGTACGGTCTGGCTTCGGCATTTAATGCCTTACGTTCCCGAGCTATGCGCCATAATATTTTACTACCAGTTCCTCGCCTCTGCAGTGTGGGCGGATCACGACTTGAGGCGGCAACGGTTCTGCTGCGCAGTATGCTCGAGAATGGTACCCCGTACTTACTATGAGTACCTCCAACTTGTACAGAATCGAGATTTGGCATTTTTGCACTCGCTAACAGCGCTTCCGAAATAGAAGTATAAAAGCTGCGCGCCACTCCTGATCCTTCACCTGGTTCGTCTTTAAATGTCACCTTAACTCTGTTAAATGTAATGGGTGGCTGAGCTCGTCGATTTTGGGTTCCGAACTGAGCATTTAATTCTTTAAACGTTTGGATAATTAAACTTTCCCTATTTCGCTCAAGTTTACAAAGAACCAAGTCGCGCTGTTGTCCATTACGGAGTTTTTCCATATGTCGTCTAAAGCGCATTTCCTTAACAGGAAAGCCTCTCAATTCTGGCAATACAGATCCGTGTTCCATACCTACATCATCCATAAAAACACGTCCGAATAGATCAAGAGCCAGTTTCCAACGACTTAACAGAAAGTTCCACGATGGCAGCTCCGAAGAACTGCTCTTGTAAAACAAAGAGCCACGAATTGGAAACACTGCTGCATGGGATGGTAGCTTTTCGCGACAATTATCACATTTTAGTTGTATTGAAGTAGCCGATGAATTTTTACATTCGGGCAAACTACTGTCATCCGAATCTAGTTTAAGAGTAGATGTTCCAGCTCGTACAATAACGCTACGAACTGCTGATACTGATAAGGAGCTCTGTATTGGCGCAACGTCATCTGTAATACCAACGCGATTTTGGCTTGGTGCAATAATAACTTCTGGTCGAGTTGTTATTAAAATATCCGTCGCTGTATTCGCTCCAGCCATAACATCAATCATTTGTACATCCTCCGTATCCATGTGATCTTTAACGTGTTGATTATCCATTCAAATAAAAATTTAATTTAAGATTTCAGAAATTTATAATTTATATTATAAAAAGAAGCTAAAACAGCTATATTCGAAGATTACATTTTCTTGGTTAAGGAAACAAACAATTTGGTGAAGTATATACGGAATATATTAAAAATCATAATATATTAAAAGCTCGGTATAGGGATACAATTGGAATTGCACTTCGATTTGTGTGCATGCTTAGATGCACATTCTTTAATAACTTCTTAACCGATCTTTAGGAAAATATCAGCAGTAGATCTAAATGTGCTAGAGAATATTCTTTTATTTAAAAAATACAATAATTGTTTTTTTTTTATGCATAGCTAGCCATAAAATTGCCGATATTTTATTTGTGTATGCTAATAAACAACATGTCAAATTTGGTGACTCTAGCTCCTCAAACCCAAGAAATTTGATCAACATAGGATTTCAATATGTTTTATCAATTACTTGGAAAAGGGGAAAGTTATCGATTACCGGAAACAAACTCTTACTGCACTGGCACTTGGAGGACCTGCGTTCAAAATTTGAAGCCTCTATCTCTTTTATTGACGCGTGCATGCATACAAACGGACAGACGAACATGGCTAGACTGACTCGGCTATAGATGCTGATCAAGAATATATGTATATGCTTCTTTCTGCCTGTTACATACAGAAAAACATATCCTTTTTACCCATTATCAATGGGTTCCAGGTATAAAAATTATTAAAACTAGACGACAACAAATATGGATAAAAATTAAATGAGACGCTCGGAATATGATAAGACCGTTATAATAGCTGTAAAATTGATGTATACACTGTTTTTTTAAAGGAAAATTTTATATGTTACTTATATTTTTTTGTATGGTTTTATTTGTTGGAGAATAATTTCTATAATGCATGGTTCAATAATATAATCAGTGAAAACGAATATACCGCAAATAAAAATAGGCACATAAAGACTAAGCAAGGTCCAGCAATGACCAAACATTGCTGGGCATATTTCTAAAAACTACAACTGGTGTGTATATTTTTTTCAGGGAGTATTAAAACAGAAGGGGTTAATATCAAACTCAATTAATTATTAATCACCAACCATATAGAAATAATTCAAGTATAACATTTTTTAAAGTGTGGAACTGGTTACTTGAAATTTCCTACAAGAACGCACTAGAGTACTTTTACTAGTACATTACTTTATATAATAATTAAGGGGAACCCTCTGAATTCATGATATATAAACATTCTTAATCCATAACAGTATCATCTCTATGGCACCTAGTATCTCAGTTTTTAAACTACTGTAATGAAACTTTGCATAGTCCGGATGGGACCATTATATAACCTTGGGAATGATAGGTAAAAAATTACATTCCGATATACGGAAGCTTTTGGCTTTACGTAACGTATTGAAATGTAAAAATTTATACTCTGGTATATGGAAGCTTTTGGCTTTGCGTAATTTCTAAGCCTACCAGGGTATTTAATATGCCAAAAATAGCCGGATTTATTGGCAAATAGCTGCCATACAAACTTAAAAATAGACATGTTCGTTTTTTTGATTTAATGCAAACTAATCTCTTAGCTTATAGGAAATCTTGATGAAATTGCAAATGCAGTACTTAAATCGGAGGTCTGAATTGTCTCTGTAAATTAGATAGCTGGCACCAAAGTTTGTCGAAAATTAAATTCTTATATGCACGAATTTTTTAATGTCGGATAACTTAAAGATTTATTATGTTTTTAACACTGTGGTTAAGTATGCTCGTATAGAAGTAATTACCGTTCTATCCTAGGAGCCAAGTTGTTGGCAGCTATCTCCTCGTCTTAATTATAGGCAATCGATCATAACTTTTTTTTTTGTTCAATGTCAGAGAAAGTACTTACCTTCGGTTCCTTTCTGTAGTTTTAAGTCATCCAAGCCCTGTTTTTTCTTTAATTGAACGTAAATATTTGAATCTACAGTGTCGTCGACTTTATATGCTCGGCTGACGTCATTCATTTCGACCGTCTCTACATTATTTTCGTGATCTGTAGTATGCTGAGTTACATCAATCGCATTTGCAGGAGCATCGGTTTTCAAAAAATTCGAGAATCCTAACCTTGTAGGAGGTTGGTCAATAGTTCCCTGATGGCAAATGTTACTTTTGACTGTGCTGTTTTTTACAGTTGTAACTGCATTCAATGGAAGATTAGCAAAAAGCTCCTGTCGCTTTGAATTTGGTTGCAGTAAGTGTGGTTTGTCAGCTAGTGGCATAGCCATATCAAGTGGTAGATCGAAGCCTTCTGGTGCAGAGCAGCCCAAACTAAGAGTTGAGTCGGATCTGGTGAAGAATGCGGATTTGCGAATATTTATGTTGGACGACGAGTTGGCAGGACACTGTCTCTCGGTATTAGAATCTCCAATGTTACATAATTCATCGTCAGTATCATCGGTTTCGACAAAGTTCGATAAATTATTTACTCGTCCAGAAATAGAATCGTTTTTATCGTAAAAGCTAGTATCATTACGCATATAGTATACGAATGCATCAAGCACGTACGAAATATGGCGTAACGCTGTTATGTCTAATACCGGCAGTGCATCTCTATGCTCCGATGTGTGAGCGCGCATTAATGAAAGACAATATGTAAAGAAATCTCGTCGAGAACTTGAACCTAATTTTTGAATAAGATTAATATAATGTTTCATTCCCATTTTCATTCGGCTTTACCAATCACATTCACGCCCACAGTTGTAGAAGTCGAAGTAGATGCTTGACTTGTTGCTGCTTGTGCACTAAGGTTGAGGGGATGCAACGGATGATTTGGATCTGTATAGTTTGTCAAATATGCACCGAATTTTAACTGCGCCTCTGTTCCGTCCATCACGGTAAACATCCAGTCCCAAGTTGGTTTCAATCTTTTTTCAACAAATGCCTTTTACACAATATAAATGATTTAAATATACATTATGAGTATATTTATCAAATGTGATACTCACTTGCACTGCAATAGCTTCCTCAATGTGAATTTTTAAAGAGGTTTCAATATCATTTGTCACATTGTATGACATAATTGCTAAAAGTTCAGATATTTGTCGAATTGTTATACCAAAAGCTCGACCTAAATTGCTTGCGGTAGTCGCCATTGTATGAGACTCGGCAGATGGCGTATTGACCGCAGTGCTGGCTGGCACAGTAGATCGGCGCAACGCCATAGGATCAATAAAAACTAAATTGGAACCAGTAGGGACGCGAACCGAAGATCGCGCATTGTCGCGACTTCTGATTGCCCATTGCATTGTTTGTGGGGTGAGATCGTTGCGTGAGTTAGGATTAATGTTACGGCGCTCAAGCTGCTGATCGCTGAAACTAAATTCATCCGATTGATCGTCCGATTCGCCATCTTCAGAACCATCTTCCTCTTGAGCAGAGGAGTCGCCAGATTCGTCTTCCAGAAAAAGAACTCCTATGTCTAAAAAAAATTATTTGACCATTGTTGATTTTTTTGTTTAAAATAATTTGCCTATATATATATAAGGACAGTGCTCAATAGGGGCAATTGAGCGAAGATTGCTGAAGTACTGAAATATTTAGACTCCACACTTCTGAAATCAATTATATTTTTGATATTAAGAGTCATAACAAGTAAGAGTGCTCTAATCAAAAGTATTCTACTTGCGGATACCCTGAACCTCCTTCTACCAACACAAAATGCATCTTGCGCTACGCATTATGGCATCATATCTCACAGAGAACATAAGGATTGGCTCTTATTAAAAAAAAGTATTGAAATAACCAAACACAGAGTACTGCATACAACATAATCGAAATTGCAATTCTGAATAGAAATAAAACGGGAAAGTAAGGATCCCTTCGACACACCAATGATTTAATACCCTTGTACACATTTCTCCCTTTGTAGATATAGTATGTGAAGCTCGTAGGGAGCATATTGAAAATCATACCTTTATAACAAGATATAAGACATAGTGATGCTAATAAATGCCGAGTTCGGTCAAGATATCTTAATAAACAAACAAGTTTTCCATGCAGGAACCTACTTTTTGACCGATCGTCCCTATGACAGTTATATGATATAGTATTCCGATCCGGTTCCGACATAAGTACTACTTGCCACAGTAAAAACGGACCTAGGCAATATTTTAAGACGATAGCTTTCAAACTAAGGGACTAGTCTCCTTCTATGTTATTTCATGACAAATTTATAATACCCTCTAGAAGAGTAAACATGTATACAGCATTTCTTGCGCTTTGCGCATGTAGCCACGTGGCTTGCCAATATAACAACACGATTTCTTTAATAACTTATGTGTTTCTTAGCCGATCTTGACCAAATTTTCAGCAGTAGATCTTATTGTGCCATCGCATTAGGATATTCTGAAAGACAACAGCATTAAAATTGTAGCTTAAATTGGCGGGTAGTCCCAATTGCTTTATTTATTCGGTTGGGTGGCAATACCTTTTTGTTTTGTTTTTTGTTTATACCTTTTCAATGGGTTCATAGTACAAAAAAAAAGGAATGGGAAATGAATTGAAGTTAACATATAAATGTTGTTTGTAAATGTTTCTTTTTTTTGTTAACTACAATGTTAACAAGAATACAATATGTATTCCTCGGCAAGCCCTAAAATTTCGATTGAGTCGCGTAGTGGGCTACAGGGGCAGAATCATTTAATTTTCTTTTTAAAAATAAATAAAAATAATACTTTTGAGTCTTAATACCCCTAGCATCTCCGAAAACCGAAGTTAAACTTCAATAGCAAAATAACAGTATTTCTTGAAGCGAACATACGTGATGTTTGGTCCCCTCCACTTTAACAAAACTTGCCAAAATCAAAATACTGAAAATCGAAAAAATGGGGAAGACATTACTGTTGTTGTTTTGCACTTTTTATTTTTTATTTTAAATTCGCTTTCATTCCTTATTTGTGCTTTTTCACTCGTCCGATTCTTAAGAATAGTACACCGAGTGTAGTCTATTCATAGCGGCAGCAACAGCTAAATCATAATAATCTTGTACTGCGCAAGCACTAGGAGGACGAACGTTTCTCAAGCTCTTAAAGATATTTAGTACGACGCGTTCATAAATACGGACAGACGGATGAACAAACAGACGGACATGACTAATCAACTCGGCTTTTGATGCTGATCGAGAATATATACACTTAATGGGATCGGAGATGCTTCCTTGTTCCTTCCATTTGCACAACAACATTTTTATCTTTTTACCCATTTTTATTGGGTTCAGGGTAAAATATCGGAATCAGATTTTATTACCACTTCAATTTAGTGGCACCTTAAATTAGTTGCAGCGTCAAAAAACAAAAATCTCTGTCTATCAAAATGAAAGTGGTCTTATACCTCCGTTGCTTTCAATTTCGATACTATCCCTTTTAATGAGACTTGGTGAAAACCGGAAATTTCAGATTATTCAGTCTTTTCTTTCGTTTTCAAAATTGACTTTGTAGGTATGAAAAATCACTTGGTAATTTTAGGAATTTAATTCCTTTACCGCCGGCTAATCCTGTGCGTAACCCTAGACAGATTTCTTGATTGCATCTTTATGTTAAATTGACGTCCTGAAGACTTTGGAGTTGGGCATTAATCTACTAATTCATGTGCTTGGTCAAGGTATTAAAACCAGTCATTTTTATCATGCCTAGATGAACAGAAACAAAACAAAAATGTCATTGCTACTTTCCAATTTTTTAATCAATGACCTTCCCTAGATGATATACTAATGTATGCCGATGTAAACTAGTGTCTTACATATAAGAATAAGGTATGATATAATTTATTATAAGCCGACATTGATGGCTTTTAGTTTTGGTAACAAGTTTAATTTTTAAATCTAAATTGTTCCAAATGCAAGGTAATGATCTTCTATAGAAACTCTCGCCGACTGGTTTCTTACATACTTGAAAGATTACCGAACGAACGTGTTAACAGTATCATTAATGAAGTTAATGACCTGGGTGTCATTCTTGAAAAACTTAAATTCGACCGTTTTCAATAAGGCCAGAATTGTTTTGGAGCTTATCAAGCGATGGTCCAATAAGTTTAACGATTCATGCAAAACAATGACCCTTTTGTCCTACCCTCTTGACTTTGTCCCATGTGACGGGTCATCACAATATTTAATTCACAAAGACAAAATTGAATCTGTATAGAAAATTATTTTTTATTTGCCTATCGTTCATCAAATTAGGATTCTTTTATTGCAACAGTATCCTGATGAATAATTTCCCCTCTTTAATCAACCGTAGAATTATGCTTGGTGTAATACTTATTCACAAAATAAACACGGTCGAAATCAACTCGGCTACGTAATAATGGGCATTTATCCAACTTAATATGCCTTGTAATAACCGTTCCGGGCTCTTTGTGATGATTACAATAAGCATTAAAAGGTGTTCTGTACGGAATCTGCTCTTCATCGTATTAAGTCTTCTATTCTGAACTATTAAGATAATAGATATTCCTAGTCTATAGACTTAGTTTGTATTCGTTTTTGTTCTTCGCAACTCTTGGCGTACGTTATACGACTGCGCCCCTCGGTCAGTTTCATGCGAAAAAAGAAAAACTATAAAAATTGATAATTGCTGTTGAAGTTGCATCAGCGACTTCTCGCTTGCTAGTCTGACGTACAGACACCTAAGCCATGGAGTACAACCAAGTGTTTTAAGTGAAATCAGCCTATATGATGTATTTTTACAACTGCCACAAATATCTTTAGGAGATGGTCCTATGGTCATATGGACATACCCTCCTCCGTAATAATGATTAGATTGGTCAAACAATTCGAGCTTGTGGCCATTCATACATAACAGGAAACAATACATGCAAGATCGCCTTGGTCGACTCGCTTTGTCGGGTAGCAAAGCCTGCTGATGATAGAAGTGGGAGGCTCCTAAAAATGCTATACAAAAAACTCGCTCACTGTTGGTATGCCTTGTTGGTCGAGCCACTAAAAACATATTTTCTATGAAAAACTGTTTTCCATTCTATTGGGACCTTATTCCTTTTTGATCTATCAGATCTTTAAACGACCCAAACGCCTTTAAGACTTCATCCGTGCTTTGCGGGGAAGGTAGTGTTCCCCACATCCATCGTACTCTTTTTTCTGAGCACAGAGTAAAATATAAACAAAGAATTAACTTTTATATTACCTGTTTCCGAACCAACAGTTGCACCTGTTTGAGCGCTTCTTTGTGCATCTTGATTGCTTTGATTGTCATCTGAATCAGATTCCGTTTCTGCATCATTAAATGTGAAATCGTTATCACTTTCATCATCCTGCATTCCTTCTTCATTCCGCTGGTTCTCTATCAAATCATCATCATGACTACTCAAATTAGATTCACGGTTTGTAATTTCTTCTGATTCAGAAGCATCTCTAAGCGCTAAATTTAAATTCTTTAAATTTGAATATAATTCACATTTAAAATATTGAGGTACTCACTGTCCATAGCAACCACATCATAATTTTGCTGAACATTAAAGTTCGGATTTTGCACATTGCTAACGTTATGTACTACGATCTGCTCAGCAGTTGACTCAACATTAGAAGGTGCCAGTGGCTCAACGCTGAACAAATCATCCGAATTCTAAAAAAAATATATAATGACATATATAATGGTAAATTGGCATGGGAAATATAAGTAACTTACATCTAGATTTGATGAAGACATTGTAAACGGAGCTGTAGGTCGCACGACACCGAGTCTTACTGGTGCTATCAAGGCCTCAGATACCTCGCACAACTCCTCAATTGAGATTTTGTGCAGCGTCTGAAATACCTTAACACAACTTTGAACATATTTGTTGCATGAAGTGTGACTCTTTCGTTTCTCTGGGTTTGGTTGTTTTTCCAAATTAAAAATTACAAACACTCGCGCCACAGACCGTACAAAACGTCGTGCTACTACCTCTGCTTCTTTACATCGATCAACAACAACAATATTTTGCAACTCCCGCACCAAAGTCAGCAGCAAGGTATCTAAATGGTCGCTTGTGCATTTTACTATCAAGCTGTGAGTAAACTTGTCCAGTAGTGTAGAACCATGCTGAGATTGCATAAAAACATTGAAACTTTCAGAGTTATCTCCCTCGCCAACATTTCCTTGTATATTTATATTAGCTTCATTTCTTTCTGCGCCGCTCATAATCATTGAACGAACCGCTTGCCAATCAATCAAAAGACGTTCTAGAGCTTTTCTGGCAAATTTAGGTGGCTCGAGATCATGGTCAGGCATGTCACTATCGATGTCTAGAGATGAAGATTTCCGATTGGTTATGACTGTATTGCTTCCATTTGCATTTCCCGTGTTACCTACATTACGCACTCTTACATTGAACCGGTATTGCCTTTGCTCGACTATCTGCCGACCCACAGTCTGAATGAGAAATAGCAGTATAGATTCACCCTTTGAGTTGAATTTTGTGACTAAATCAGTGCAAGATACAAGTTTGCAGAGTAATGCAAACCGCTTAGTTAGATTTCCTGCAATTAGTGCTTTACATTTGCACTTCTCCCAGCAGTCGCAGTAAGCTGTCGGTGCCGTGCGTTTAAGTTTGCAGTCGTGGCCCTTGTGACAGACTCGTGCGCATTCGGTGCAGCAACATAGGGAACCAGTTAAGCCGCAAGTTTTACACTCAAATATGTTTTGGTTTATATGATCTGCACCAGTCCAAGTGAAGGAGCACGTATCGTTATAGCAGATAACATGAAGAGGGGATTGATCAGCTGGCGACCCAATGGGGAAAATCATTGCTTCCTTAAGATGCGTATCATGATCAGAAACACTAAGAATTGTATTTAGTATTATTATACCAGCTTCGTAAGCGCGACATGAAACAGCTAGCATGAATGCGGTTTGACCTTGACCATCCTTGGCGCTTAGCATCTGGTAAAGGTAAGGTCGCATAGCAACACTGGCACACATATGTTGAAGGATCAGAATGGCGTGTTCACGTCGTTGTATTAGGTCGAATGTATAATTTGGAGTTCCCATTTTGCTGTTTGACACACTAATGTTTTGAGACGACGAAGGCAATATTTTCAAAACATCTTCGTCAACTATATCCGCTACATTTTGAGCTCCGATTGTGCTAAGGTTGCTAACCGTTCCTGATTCAAGGGACCAGGGTATTGGAATATAAGCGTGATCCTCCCCTGCACTTGTCGCTGATTGACTATTCTGCTCTGCCTGTTCTGTATTAATGAGTCGATGCATCATGTCACGAAGACTAATTCGGGTTTCCCTGTTTAATGATGCAGAAGTTGAAGATGTACTGATGCCAGCAGGGACTGTAGCGAAGCCAGAATTCTCGCTTAAATTGCTCCCATTTCCAAATGCGCTTCCATATGATAAGGAAGGTCCTACACGTGGCATTGTAACTCCAGAAGTGGCAGTTTTTTTTTCTGAGCTACTGCTGGTAAGGTCTGATAAATGTTGTGTGTCCTTGTTAGATGTTGGAGCACACATTACTACACAGGCATGAAATATGTTCCGGTTACCATCGCAGCGTTCTTCAACAACAGAAATTGTATCTTTGCGGTCTTCTTTTTCAAGTCGCATCAAGACAGCAATGCAGTTTTTAACATCACATCGCAGTATATGTGGCATAAGTTTTTGGGTTTCAAAAAGCAGTGCTGTCATGCATACTTTTGACTTAAGATTAATGCAAGATACTGAAGGCGGAAGCGATATTGTGGCCATAGTAACAGATTTAACAGGCGGCAAATCGAACCACTGAGGGTCTTTTATTGAGCCGATACAGTCCTTAGCCAGTGGATAAAGTGCTCCATTGCCATCTCTAAGAACAATCGTACTACTGTTACCGTTGCAGTCATTATTGCAGGCCATTGTAATGTTATTAGTAGACGCGCCTATAAATGATGCACAGTCTGTGGGAAATTGGCAGTTTTGTTCTTGCTTGCTGTTGTATAAGTTATAAAGGCTATAATGTATTTTCCCGAACACTTTTTTAATAACATGAATACCACGGGTATCTACCGCTATTGTAAGAAGCTGAGCGCTCGCTGGATCGGTACCAATATTTATTTTCTTCGGTTGTTTTTGTAACCAATCTGGCCCTCGTGAGGAAACTGCTGTCCGATAGACTTGGACATCTTCGCGTCGCAATAGACGGCATTGCTGCCAGTCATCCTCTTTTCCATCATCTTTACTGGTTAAACCGGTAGCGCCACTGACGCAGCTTAATGGTGGAAATCGGACTGCCACATAGTCCCCATCAACCTTAAGAACTTTTCCAACCGGGCCCACTTTGTCCTCTACGAAGACAACGTCTTTAAGTTGCCATAGTTCCTCATCTTTTCTGCTCTCTTGGCAACTGTTGCCATCTTCTTTAGAAGTCATTCTTTTAGTGCGCTTGTGTGAAGTAACACTACCGGTATCACTACAAGTACTAGACGCCGGCGAAGGCGGTGGAGGCATGTCAATACGATCAGTTGACTCTTTACTTGTCGAACTTATTTGTCCGCTCTTGTTAGAACTGGTAGCTTGTATAGGTGCTGTCTTAGAAATATCCTTATCATTAGCAATCGTTCCCGTAGTCTGACATTTATCGGATCCTAAAGTTGAACCGACATTTAAGATTTTCATCCTACATACGTCCGCAAAATCCCACACAGAGTTTAATAACTGTCCAACTTTGGGTACACCATTGGTACAGGTAAATCCAATCGATCCTGTTTGGTAAATAGGACACTTCTTCATAACAACTTGTGATCCCACGTTAATATCAGCCACAACCATTTTAAATGGTTTTTTGGTTTTAGTTCGAAACTTATCCCATAGGTAGCGGCGTTGATCGAATGGAAGAACTCCCCACCAATAAATATTATTATTATCGGTTCTAACTGCTGTGTATAACGAACAAACATGTATTGTTGCAATAGGGTCCATGGTGAATTCATTAAAAGCTGAAGCTGTGTGCTCTAATTTAGCTCCGAGATATCCCAGTTGTTCGTCCATCCAAGTGGCAACTCGATTTGACTCAGTTACTATAGAGCATCTTATAAAATTTGCTGAGATAAGCTCCACTTTTTCAGCAATGTTAAGTGATAAGGTCTTTGGATGATAAATATTGTCCGTCTATAGAAAAAGGGAAAAATTAAATAAAAAATAAATAAATTTTTCATATGTAAGCCTAAAACCTAAAATTTGACCGAGCATTTAAAACTATCTAGTTATTTCCCGGCACGGTTATTATTTTATTTCAAAATATACAAATCAATTTGTAATGGAAATGGGTGACCTGTGTACGTCTAAAATTATATTTAACCTAGATATTTGACAATGAGTATAAGTCAATCGAATTAAGAACTAAACAAGAGGCGGGAGTTTCTGACTAGGGGCCACACTGAACCCTCTTCTACCAACAGCAGTAATAAAAAAAAAAATACCCTGAACCCTCTTTTATCAAATGCAGCTCGCGCTACGCGCTCGTTTACTTTAGCAGTAATAAAAATAATAGGATAGGATGCGAACTCGTAACAGACCACACTACCTGCCGCCGCCTCTACTCAACAGCCAAACCATCAACAAATCGATACTGAAAAAAAAAACCTATCAAAATAGCAGCACATACGCACAGCACAGAAAACAAAACAATTGCAATGCTGTTGATAGAATACAGAAATTCTTGGGTTTTGCGCTGGCTGCCGCTGACACGTGGGCTGCCAGTATATATATAACCACACGTTTTCTTTAATAACTTCTGTGTTCCTTAACCGATCTTGATGAAATTTTCAACAGTAGATCTTATTGTAATAAATAATATTTGTACATTCTCAAAAATTCAATTGCATTTATATTTTGGCTAAATTGGTGACCAATACAAATTGGTTTATTATAAATAAATATAAAAAAAATATTTACTTGATTTATAGATATAGGGTGGTGGCGATAGTTTTAAAATGAAAGATACTTGATATAATTATTTGTTTATCTGGCTCGAGGTCCGGGGCTTTTTTATTCAAGACAAATGAAAACACAATTTTGTTTGAATATAACCAATATATTCCGGCTGCACTTCGGCAACCGTCTTCAGGGCAACCTCCCCGGACCTCGAGCCAGCCAAACAAATAATTATTAAACGAAAAGGTCGTCAAATCCAACATTAGATACTTGATATATATATATATACAATTCTACAAGCTAACTGTCAGTTTGACAGACGAACGGACATGGCTAGATCGACTCGGCTATTGATGCTGATCGAGAATATATATACTTTATGGGGTCGGAGATGCTTAATCTGCCTGTTACATACGTTTGCACAAATACATTCTAACCCTTTTTACACATTTTCGATGGGTTCAGGGTATAAAAAGATGATTACCATCGCTATGCCATTCGAGCTTGCTTGCATATACGCATATTAACAATTAGTGTCAGGCTGCAGTCGCGATTTACACAATTCTCATACCAATTTGTAATAGAATTTTAAACATTAGCATGTAAAGATAAACTGCGATTTTGTACTGAAGATTTTGTCATTGGTATTGATGTATTCAACCTTACTTACATCTGATTTGTAGGGCTCCAAGTCTGACCAGCGCCATTGATGTAACTCTCCATTTTCTGAGAGCGCAATAAATTCGGAATACAACGCTCCAATAGTCTTAAATCGAATGAAAACTTTGTCAGGCCATGGTTGCAATTCTTCTGATATCCATATTGGCGAGGGCATTGAAGAGGGTTCTTTCTTTTTGGGATCTAAAAAAAAAGTATTGTTATTTTATCGTTTATATTGCATTTTTAACAATAAGTGTACTAACCAGTATCTTTATCCCACGTGTATTCGTCTTTACTAATCCAACGGCGGGGGCCATAGTACTGACGATCACGCCAGCGACTAAATGCTTCGCGATCAGCATTTGCCGAAGATATCTGAGCTGAAAGACTAGCATTTCCTGCTATAACACCGGTGGAAGATGCCGATGTTCGATTAGACTGATTATTATCTGCACTACTCGAGCTTGCGTTGTTTCGTTCGCTACGAATCCGATCGAAAAGTAGACTAGAGAAAGAGTTATTCATAGCATGTTTATAGTTATTAAAGCTAATATATGTTTCTAATTTGTTTTTGTTTTACGACTTATGGTATTGACGACATGTTAAGTACAATAGATTGCCGATTGCAGGTAACCAAAATACTTGCAAATATGTATTATCGATAGAACTTACTTTCTAATGCTCGAATAATTACTAAATATTTCCTCTGAGAAAAGTCCGTCTGATGGATCGATAATGACGCTATTATTGTCACCGGAAAAACCATTGTCCAAAAGTGAAATCAGGTCTTCTGGAACATAGTTGTCTCCACCCTCTTCTGTATCTTCTGCCTCTTCATCATCTCGAGAAAGCAAATTATTCACAGCTAAGTTCACATCAAGATTTGTGCGCTACAATTTAAATTGTTTAGGCAAACGGGGAATTTTAAAATAGATTTAAGTTTCGTACACACCTGAAGTTCTCTTATAATCAGATTCCTACTCTTGCCTTGTAATACCACTTCTGCTTGAGATATAAGCTCCTCAGGCACATAGGTGGCTGGCACTGTTACTAGGGGTCGATTAGAGGAGTTACCTCCAATTATTACACCTGTACTTCTAGATCCGGAACCTTGTCCACTTGAACTGGTCCTACCTGTTGCTCGCAGAAGTCGTGCTCGTGAGCGAGCCATAGGCCGAGAAGATGATGGTGCCTTTGGAGCATTTGTTGCTGCAACTCCACCAGATGGAGCACTTTGAACAAGCATAATCATTATCATAAATTCACATGGATGATATAACATACCACTTATTGTCAGATTTAGTCAAATCAAGCTTTTCAGTATTGATAGAGAAGGCGACCCGGAACGCTTTTCCATCTTCCAGAAGTACTCCAATATGATTAGGTCCAATTACCACCTCCCTGACTGGTATTTTCAATTGTTCAAATATTCTATGAGTTCCAGAACCGAAGCGGTTTACTTTATCAGAGACTTCTCGTATTCTAAATTAAAAATGCATAAAAATTTGTTTAAAAACCATCAAAATCATGTCCTTAATATATATTCTTAACCAAACAAATGTGAAGTTTTAATTTTATAAATATATTTTATTATATTTATGTTTGCTGGTAACAACATTTAATTTATATAAATATTAGAATTAAAATATAAAAAATAAACACAACCAAAAAACAATATTGTAAGCCCAACCAAATTCGTAAGCTGGCATTGAATTTGGCATTGCAGTTGATAATGGAGACCCACCCGAAAATATGATCAAAATATAAAGTAAATTACACCTGGATATCTATCTGCACATATACAGAATTTATTATGCATGTTGCTTGTGCAAGTGCTATGATATATGCAAATACACATGAGAACGAATACCTATGCGTTAAAAAATACAATAATGTAACAATTTAGAAGAAGTACGTCTTCATATTTTGTACGTTCCTATGTGGACTTAAATATATCACTGTTGCCTACAATGTAAACTCATGCTTATGTATGTACATATGTATAAGCATGTTTATATACAAATATATGAGGTACTTACAACTTTACCATTTAATACATTACAAGAAATTCTTGCAAGCCCTAAAATATTCATACATGTACTTATGGATGTAAAGAAACATACATATAGTTATAATATACTTATGCATTATTAAGTTAAATTGATATGCATACATGTGTTAAACATGTGCAGATGATCAATAATAAGTACATACTTATATGTATGAAGTCAATTTTACATATTTATAGTATTATTACCTCTCAATGAATTGTTCATCGTTTCCCGGAAGTGGTTGCAACACGAATTGCATAGAAACCATTGTTAATTTCTTTAACTATTCGAAATACAGTTCTATCTCAATTTTCATTTCAGCTTGGAAAATGTAACTATAAATAGGGATGCCACAAAAATTCTGAGATTACAGTAGAGTTCGATTATTACGACATATCGATACATCGTGCAACAACTGTAATAGATTTGTAGACTAATAGTACCAGCACGAACAGAAATGATAACAAAGAAAAAGAAACGTATGTTATCTTCGGAACTAAGGAAACAATAGGCCACATATAATTTTGTAACATTGTTTTTGTTTTGATTTTAATAAAACCCCGGCGTTTTAATATTTATATTTAAAATATTTCCATTATTCTGTTTTCCTTCTCGGTTTATTTGTTTATTTTATCGCGAGTGCATGCTTGTGGTCTGTGCATTTTATCATATAAATATTGTTACTTTTATATTTGTGTTCTTATGCATTTTTTTTTGTGTGCTTGCACTATTAGCTCTGGTGGTAAGTTATTGTTGTTGTTTGTTGTTTATGTTTAACTGCACATCGCCTCTCTTGGTGTGCAAGATTTCGTGAGCAAGCAAGCAATCTATAAATAGACTATTCGTTCGCACTCTCGCGCTCTCTCACCTATTTTCAACTTGTGCTTTGACCTTTTTCTACTTTCTGCCGCTTGTTGGTGTTTTAAACGCTAGTAATCTAAATAACTCTCTTCTAACATTTGGCTGCGTTATTACAGTAGAGACCCATAATAATGGACCATAAAATTGTCTGCTTTAAAAAAACTTGCCAAATGCAAATTAAGCCAAGTCAATCCATACCTTGTTGGCTATGTGATATTGTCGTGCATTCTAAATGTGCGGGTTACACTAGCCTAGTGGGGGAAGCTATTGCCAAACGAAATGGTTTGCAATATAGTTGCGACTCGTGTAGGGAGATTGATGGTGAAATGCGGGCGTTTATGCGTCGAAAACTAAACGATCAGCTGACAGCCCTGGATACCCAATTTAGTAGCCTAAAACTGTTGGATGCGTCTCCAGGGCCTAAAAAGCCCACTCCTTGTGATTTGCCGTTGCCTAATACCCTTCAGCCTCCATCTGCAATTCAGCAGCCTACTATGACGATTACACAGCGGCTCATCTCGTTTCTTGCACCGGTAGCTGTGAGGTCTGCTGTGGACACTGGTTCTGTCCCGAAATGCGCAACATCGGCACGAGAAAACCCAGTCGAATTATCCGTGTCGTCCGCTGTCGTAGAAGTTCCGAAAGGGCGACAGCAAAAATTAAATTTATAGAAGCCACTAGAAGGCTCGTCGTCCGGAATACCGGCTGTTTTAGGTACCACAGCTAATAGTGTTCCCACTGTCCTAACTGTGGCGCCTAAGCCTCTAGTGGGTGTTCCTCCGAAGAGACATATTTTTGTTTCTAGGCTTGCCCCTCACTTCTCATCAGATGATTTTAAAGCTTGTATACAGGCAAAAATTCAAGCCCCAGGTATAACGATGGAGAAACTTAAGTTGGCCTATGGAAGGGATATCGCATCCCTTAAAAGTTACTAACATTTCTTGTAAAGAGTTTTGGCCGGAACACTTAATAATTAAAGAATATAAGGACAATAAGAAAAAACGGACTCCGATTTTATTACCACCTGTTTCTAGTGGCGCATCAACTTTAGTTGCTGCGTCAAAAAAATAATTTCTTCTTTCGAGCTTGCCTATTAGAATGTTAGAGGTCTTAAATCTAAACTCGTAAGCCTGTATTTAGTTTCTCTTGCTTTAAATTTTCAAATTATCGCTTTTACTGAGACTTGGCTAAAGCCGGACATCTCAGAATCTTACATTTTTACCTCTAAATACACCACTCACAGATGTGATCAAGCTTCCCGTATCGGAGGAGGAATACTCATTGCTCTTTCGTCGGAACTCATTGAACTTCCCATCTCAGAGATTGAGTTGGTGGCTGTAAGAGTTGTATTTGGAAGTTTTTCTATCTTTATTTCATGTTCATATATACCAACCGAGTTGATACAGATCACTCGTTGAGCTTAGACGTGCCTAATTTTGCGCAGAAGCTTCGCTTAATTTATCTATTCTGCTTTGTTATATTCGTATAAGCACCTGCTCTCTCGCTGAGACGCAACAACAAACCATTGACTGCTGATAAGCATCAATAAACTGTTGACACTCTGTAGTTGTCACCATGAGTGACAACAACGAAGACCTAACGGTCTGGCCCTGGCAGAAAAAAAAACCAAATCCAAATAAGCGAGCAAACCAAACTTTACTTCCAGTGGCAAGAAAACTAACCTGCTCTGGACTACACCGAGCACCAGCTCTAACCGATTTGCTATTTTAAGCAACAGCATACCGGATACGAATGGGAACGAAGATGATGGAAAGGAAACACTGGAAATGATAATTGAAGACGATATCAACATATTAAAAGCCGCGTAACCAAAGAGCCATTAAATTTGTTTTTTCTAGATATTGAGCCTGACAAAAAGAATGTGAATATATATAATCTTAAACACATTGGTAACGCTGTTGTCAATATAGAGCCACCTCGTAAAAACAATGATATAGTGCAATGCTATCGTTGCCAAGAATATGGGCACACAAAATCTTATTGCTCCAAACTTTTCAGGTGTGTAAAATGCTCTCTTAGACATCCAAGTAATACTTGCTCGAAAGACAAAGAATTACCAGCAAAATGTGCCAACTGCTCGAAGATCATGCCGCTAGCTACAAAGGGTGTATAATTTATCAGGAACTTCTGTCGAAAATTTCGGTAACTGATCGAAAAAGCCTTAGAAACAATACCTGCGAGAATAAAAACGTCTACGGAACATCACAAAGCTTTGCCCCGCCCAATAAATCAGCCTCAACCCAAGAATCCAACAATAATCAAACCTATGCTCAAGTTTCTGCAGGAAATAATACAAATGACTCTCTTAACAGAATAGAGCAACTTCTAGAAAAAGAATTTGAGCTGACTAATAATTTATTTAATATGATCATGTAACTAGTAAACAAGTTATTCAAGTAAATCTAAATATCGGAATATCTACGTCTCTAATGCAAACATACACAAAGACTAAAAAATTCCTTATGTAAAAGAAGAAATAAATAAGATCAGTACAAAATACATTGATAGACTTCACAACCACCAAAATAACCTAGCCTTAAATCTAACAGATAAAGTCTAGCAATAAGAAGACTTAAAAGAGTGCATATTCTTTATCTCCCAGATTGATAAATTAAATAAGTACAACTTCAACCTAACATACAAAATATGTAAAATATAATATTAGGTTTCGCTGGAAACTTTCTATTCCTGTTAATTTTAATAATAGCTAACAAAATTTACTTATTGTCTTAAGACACAGTGTAAATAAATAAAATGTATCAAAAAAAAAAAAAAAAAAATAAAAAAATATATATACCATTCCTATCTATCTTGTCCATTTATCAAACATATCTTAATGCTATTAAATCTATCTCTCTACTTTCTGGTTGGGACCTTTTAGTAGTTCTTGGGGACTTTAATCTCCCGGACGTCGATTGGTCATCGCCATCAAACTCAAACTTTCTGTTGCCGTCTTCGTCAAACGAATTTATTGATGGTCTTCATGAAATTTCCTTACTGCAGGTTAATCGTGTGCGCAATTCAAGGAACAAATCTTCGTTCGACAGTGTTGTGCACAGGCCTGATAGGCCTCCCTGGTTTTCAAGTGAACTTATATTAAAAGTTTAAGAAATCGGGAAATCACTTTGATTTCTCCTGTTATGTAGTTGCCCGATCAAATTTTTCTATTCAAAATTCCATTTGCTATATGGATTACCTTCGCCGTTGTCGCCTCCAATTTTCTCATAATCTTAACTTTTCCTCTAGGTATAACATAAATCAGCCTTATCCTTATCAGTTACAAAGGTCAAACTGCATCTTACAGCCATTATTACGGAAAGTTCGCTTCTCAGCGACCTTAACACAAACAAGCCGGTTCACTCACCGGACCCTGATAGTGTTCCTGCTTGTGTGCTCAGGTACTGTGCTGTAGCATTATGTTAACCTGTGTTTAAACTTTTTGAATTGTCACATTTAATCTATTCCAAAAATTTGGAAGGAATCATACAATATCCCTCTCCATAAGACAGGGAGTAAGTCCGATGTCGAAAACTATAGAGGTAGTTCCAAATTATCCGCTATACCTAAAGCTTTTGAGAGAATCATAACATCTCAACTGCAACATTTATGTAGTTATATTATTTCACCTGCCCTGCATGGGTTCGTGAAGCGCAGATCTACAACCACTAACCTTCTTGAGTTTACTTCACTAGGAATTGATAGGTTTAATAAAGGAATGCAGACTGACGTCATCTACACTGATTTCAGTAAGGCTTTCGACTCTGTCAACCACTCCTTGCTGCTTCATAAATTATGCCTCCTCGGCTTCCCAGTCAATCGCTTGAACTGGACTTCAGAGTATTTGCGTAACAGAACGCAAAAGGCTCTTTTCAGAAATTCGTTTTCTAAACGAATTCAGGTGACTTCCGGTGTTCCTCAAGGTAGTCATCTTGGCCCGCTACTCTTTACTCTTTTCATCAATGACCTTCCCTCGATACTGTATCACTCTCGAGTACTAATGTATGCTGACGATGTGAAGTTATGCCTTTAAAGATATGGCATATAAAGATATGGCATCATGTTATTTCTTACAAGCTGACATTGATGCGTTTCTGATTTTGTGTGGTAGTGACTTTCTATAGAAGCCCTCCCCAATTGGGTTCTTACATCCTTGATAGCTTACCACTCTAGCGTGTTAACAGTACTTCTAATCAAGTTTATGATCTAGTTGTCATCCTTAATCATAAACTTAAATTCGACTCTCATGCTAAGACCGTGGTCAATAAGGTCAGAATTGTTTTGGGTTTCATCAAGCGATGGTCGAAGGAGTTTGACAATCCGTACACGACAAAAACCCTTTATATATCTTTGGTACGACCAATACTTGAGTATGCCTCATGTATCTGGTCACCACAGTACTCTATCCATCAAGACAGAATTGAATACGTTGTTTGCCCTTAGTGGTTTAAATTGGGATCCTCGTGTGCGGTTACCGTCATACTCCAT